GTGATTGTCACCACTTCGAGAATCCGGAGTGACGGCGCTGTGACATGAGTTCGGCGTAGAAGACACGGGTAAGTCGGTTCAAGGACACTTGGGCCAAAAAGGCGAGGCCCACGAAGATCAGAGTCAACTCAAATTCAAACGTTGAGCATTAAAGACAAGGAATCAAAACGGACACATTTAAGAAGGAATAATTGTACTTAATTATTCATTTTTAATGACGATTCTCTATGTATAAATATAAAGGCCAATGGCCATGTAAAGGGATCTTCCTCTGAAGATAGAAATACTATAGTAATTTTCGTAGCAATTTATAAGTTCTTTCATATTCATTTTTGTCCCTCAAGAATAATCTTTCCTACTTAATAAAATACTTGAGTGTGTGAATCCGACATCCACAGCCCCTTTTCAAAATTTTAACTACTTGGATATGAACGGTTCTACCACAAATATTTTTTTCGCTACAAAGGTTTTTTTTTTTTGGCAACTGATTATATTTCATTTTAAAGGGGACGAAAAGTTATATCAGATTTGAGAAAAACCTCCAAAAAATAGAGCCTATGATAGATCACCAATCTAAACTAGAAGGCCTAACCCTGTAATCCAAAGAAAACCAGGGACTTTACAAAAAAATAGTGCTCCACAAAAAACGATCTACTAAGAAACCTAATTAAGCACCCGAGGAGTCATGAGCAGTCATCTCTTCATTAAAAACATCCCACAACCAAAAAAGAAAGCTGAGGGCTACGTATGATTGCAACCTGCACTCCAAAGTGACACTTTGAGCAATCATATTAGCCCCTCTGTTTGCTGTTGTTGCTTCCACCATTAATTTCCACTCCTCAAAAGACCTTAGCAGAGAAAGAATTTCTCCGGATTGGAATCTGAAAGATGGCCAAGCTTGAGGCCTGTTAACAACACCAAAAAGAAACCCATCCTCAACAGCAAAAAGAACCTTGCAAACTCTATGACTAATCATGCTTTCAACCGCCCAAACAAGACAAAGAAAATGTGCTTCTTTTCTTGATCTGATGTTACCAAAGGCACGGCGACTATGCATCAATACTACTCCCATCTCATCTCTCAGAACCCAAGAAACCCCTGCCAAAAAATTCCTCCTAGACCACGATAATCCAATGTTACACTTTACCCACAGAGCCGGAGGAGGCCTAATAAAGAAGGGAATGATCCCGGAATATTTCCAATTGATTGAGGGACCCTAGAAGGATCAAGACTCCTCTCAGCCTCAGTCTCTTGAGCAGCAAACCAGTCCTGAACATCCTCCTTAACCTTTTTGATAGTCTCCACAGCCGAAAAACATTTCCCTTCAAAAAACAAAATGTTCCTATTTTTCCACAATCTCCAAATGATCCATGGAAAACTCTTTCTCAGTTCAATAGGCCAACTTAGGTTGTCTTTATTCATCAAAAAATGATCAATATTGGAATAGATGGACCTCTCTTCGAAACCCAAAAGAGGAGATGGGGAATCCGACATGGCCCAAATCTGTCTAGAGGCAGCACAACCAAACAGAACATGATGTATAGATTCACCACCCAGTCCACAAGTCTGACATCTATCATCAACTTTCATACCCCTAAGAGACAAAAGGTCCATAACTGGCACATCACCACTCAAAACCTTCCACAAAAAGGCTTTTATTTTTGGCTCAGTTTTGAGTTTCCAAACCTGAATTTTTAGCTCATTAATTGAGGGCTGCTGAGTCGCTGCTGCAATGACTTCAAGTTTGTAAATTTGAGTAGCCAACCAGTAACCCGATTTCACTGAGTAATCCCCACTCCTATTGTGTTTCCAAATCCAGAAATCATTCACTGACACCACCGGTCTATTTGCTCTTATCAATTCCACATCAGCCGGATAGAAATGCTCCTCAAGCTTATCTAAATCCCAGTCTCTTCTTCTGGCATCAAATCAATGTTAATGATTGGATTTTTAAACCAGGGAGCCCTCAGCCCATTATCATCAAGCCAATAGTCAGACCAAACATTGATGCTCTCTCCAATGCCCACTCTCTTTCTCAGCCCATGCATTAATAACTCTCTACCATGCATAATACTCCTCCAGCCATAGGATGGTCTAGTTCCAATGCAGCTGTCCAAAAACTCACCTTGAGGAAAATACCTGCTTTTAATCAGCTTAGAGAAAAGGCAGTTAGGATTCTGTAATAGTCTTCAGGCCTGTTTCGCCAGCAAAGCCTGATTAAACAAAGCTATGTCTCTGAATCCTAACCCGCCCTGGTGCTTAGGTAGACCCATCTTCTCCCAACTCAACCAATGAATCTTTCTAGAATGTTCACATGAGTTCCACCAAAAGTCAGCCATTGCACTAGATAAGTTTGCACAAGTCGACTTTGGTAGCTTAAAACATGACATAGCAAAAACTGGCATCGCCATCGCCACTGCTTTAAGCATAATTTCTTTTCCCCCTTGAGATAAAGATTTCAGGAACCAGCTGGACAGTTTACTCTTCAACCTATCTTTAATGAAACCGAGCATTTCAACCTTAAAACTACTAAAACATTCTGGAAGTCCCAAGTACGTCCCAGCCCCACCTTCTGACAAAATCCCCAACCTCCATTGTATATCATTCTTTACGAAAATCCCAACTTTGGATCCAAAAGTGATGGAAGACTTTGACAAATTTATTGTCTGCCCTGTAGCTGCCCCATATGCTCCCAAAATTCTCTATAGAACTTGAGCCTGAACTCTATTGGCCTTGCAAATAAACAAAGAGTCATCCGCAAACAATAGGTGGTGAATAACATGACCATCTTCAGAGAATTACATACCATTTAAAAGACCTTCCTGTTGAGCATTATTGAGGAGGTGAGTCAAACCTTCAGTGCAAAGGACGAATAGGAAAGGTGATAAGGGGTCACCTTGTCTCAAACCTCTCTCAGGTCTAATTCTCCCAAAAGGTTTGTTATTGATTAAGACCGCATAAGTAACCGAAGTTATACACATCATCATCCAATCTACCCACTTTTGATGAAATCCTAGAGCTGAGAGGAGAGCCCTTATGTAACTCCATTCCAATTTGTCATAGGCTTTAGACATATCCGTCTTCACTGCCATAAACTCATCAGAAAATTTGGCATTAGAATGAAGATTATGAACCAGCTCATGCGCCACCAAAATATTATCAGAAATCAGTCTCTCTGAGACAAAAGCCGACTGCGTCTCTGAAACCAACTCAGAAAGAAGGGGCTGCATCCTTTTCACCAACACATTAGAGACAATCTTATACAGAACAGAGCATAGACTTATAGTTCTTAGATCAGACATAGAGGAAGGATTTGGAATCTTTGGAATAAGACACAGGTGTGTGTAATTCCACTCAGCCGGTAACACTCCAGACTCACAAACCCGTTGCACTTCAGCAATCACATGTGGACCAACAGTTGCCCAATAATGCTGAAAAAAAACCCGACATACCGTCTGCCCCTGGAGAGCTCTCAACATTAATGGAGAAAACAGCTTCCTTAATTTCATCAGGAGATACCTCTCTTATTAATCTTTCATTCATTTGGTTAGAGACCTTTGGCTGAAATCCTTGAAACCAGGTGCTGAAGCTTTGGGGATTAGAGGACTTGAAGAGATCCACAAAGTAAGCAGAAGCAATCTCACCTTTGGCTCCTTCAGAAAAATGTTCATTCCCATTAATATCCAACAACATCTCAATCCTGTTATTTCCCCTGGTTCTATTCACTGAATCATGGGAAATTTTTGAATTTTGGTCCCCACAAAACATCCACTTCTTTCTACTCTTTTGTCTCCAATACAGTTCCTCCTCCCAATAAGCCCTAGCAAGATCTTTCTTCAAAAAACAAAATCTGAGAGAACCTTGGAGACAAAGCAGATTGTTCCTCCTCTAAGGCCCTTTCAATTTTATGAATGTTCTCCTTCGAATTCAAATTTTTGTCCCTCTTCCAACCACTTAGAGCTTTCCTGCAAGCTCTTAATCTTTCAGATAATCCAAAACTTTGATCACCAGCCCTAGAAGACCACGCCTGAATGATTGACTCTTCAACTCTTGGTTTGTGAAGAAATCTCCTATCAAATCTGAATTGCCCTTTATACGAATCCTGAGAAGTCATCAGATTGAGAAGGACAGGTCTGTGGTCAGAACCACGCAAGTCTAAAAATCTCTGATTAGAAGAAGGGAATTCTTTAAACCACTCCTTATTCCCAAAAGCCCTATCAAGTCGACTTTGAATCCATAAATCATATCTCCTTCCAGCCCAGGTGAAAATATTTCCATTACTCGGTAATTCAACCATCTGACAAAGGTCTAAGAGATCCTTAAAGGGCTTGAAATAAGACTCGCATCTTCTAGGGCCCCCAATTTTCTCTCCATTATGCAAATATCGTTGAAATCACCTATCATACACCATCTCTCACGCCTTCCAACTCCAATCCTACTAATTCTCTCCCATACCACCTTTCTTTTCTTGAAATCTGGATCACCATACACACAAGACAAAAAGAAATTTGCATCTCCAAATTGAACCTGCATATCCACCAAGTTCTTGTCAGCAAACTTGATATCAACCTTCACACTTGACTTCCAAAAAACTGTTAATCCACCACACTTGCCAATCGGCTCCACTGAATACACTCTGTCATACCCTAAACAACACTGCAAATCAACCACTGAATCCCTACTATTCATAGTTTCCATAAAAAAGAGCATCTCAGAAAAATACTTTTTACGCATTTTCTTGAGGCAGGGAAAAGCCAAGTCTTGAGACCGTCCCAAACCTTGGCAATTCCAGCTGATAATACTCATTGCGCTACAAAGGTTTATGACAACAAAAAAAATATGATTGAAAGTTTTTGTGAATAAATATTTAATTATTAAGTAACAAGTCGTACAATGGGAATTAGCAAAGAAAAAAAAAACCACTTTCGAATAAATCAGGTCAACTTTTTTTTTTCCTTGTTAATATATATGGTAATAAAAATGTTATTTTTATGCAAATAAACAAAGCCACACGAAAACCCACCATCAGGTTCAGGTCCATCACCTCTTACATTTTTTTTTCCAAAGTCTCTCAATGGATAGCTTGAGAGATGTTAAGCCTATCAAATTCATATTTTCTATTTTCTGTCTAATTTTTATATTATCCGCCTGTAATTCAACGGCGGAGCTACCACGGTTCGTCCAACCACTAAAACCCGATGGTACACTCAGTTTTCTCGTCGTCGGCGACTGGGGAAGAAGAGGTTCTTATAACCAGTCCCAAGTAGCTCTTCAGGTACATATATATGTGTGTGTAAAATATATATATATATATATATATATATATATGTGTGTGTGTGTGTGTGTGTTTATGTAGATATGACCCTGTTTTTTTTTTTTCAAATATCACAATTTATTCCTTATCTGTAATTAAGCTAATTTCAAGTTCTTTTTGATGGTGTGGTTAGAAAATATGTGATAGAGCTCAAGCGAGAAGACGAAAATGATATAAGAAAAATCATATTTTAGTTTATTGTAGTAGAAAAAAAACCGAGAAGCGTTATCTTGACGGCGAATACATCGTTTGAGTAAATTACTAATTAGCTATTAATGTAGTAAGTACCCAATAACAATAGTAATAAAATTGCACTAAGTATCGCCTGATAAAAAGTTGTTTCGAGTTGTATTAATTACTTGTATAATATCTGAATATACTTATAATAATGAGTGAGTGGATGATAATATCTGAGGCATATTTCATTGTTAATTAAGGAGCCGTGAAGGTGAAGTTGCATACATAATCTTTAGTTCGTTACGTAACTTACGTGGAACTAGTTATCTGAATTAAGGCTGTCCATCAGTGTTGCAATTCTACGTTATCATTTTAATTTTGGTTGCTTCTATAATCTACAAGTAAATGCTTTTGATTAAGGAAGACATTGATTGGAGAATTTATTATTATTATTAGTAGTATTATTTTGTTTTAGTTTGTAGTGAAATGGATAAGTTTGTCGCTTCTAGAGATTTCTAAAAACGACCAAAATTTTTTGCAATTTTGTTTTGTTTCTTTACCATTTGTTTTCTATATAATGCTCTCTTATAATCATACATAATTTTTTAATAAGATTGATTTTTTTTTTGTTCTTAATTAAATTACTCTACTAATTATCGACTATAATTTTTTTGCATTCAGATGGGGAAAATAGGGAAGGATTTAAATGTTGATTTCCTCATTTCGACTGGAGATAACTTTTATGATGACGGAATAATCAGTCCATATGATTCTCAATTTCAAGATTCGTTTACCAATATTTACACAGCATCTAGCTTACAAAAACCATGGTATAATGGTAAGTAAATTATTAGTTATATTTATACTCTAATCAGTTACAAAGAAAAAGTTATTTGACTGTCAAAAAAATTTATATTTATATTACTTTTTCAATTAACATTTTATATCTACTAATGGGTAGATTTTCATTTAATTTCCCTCGCAGTATTAGGAAATCATGATTATAGAGGTAATGTCTATGCGCAACTCAGCCCCATTCTCAGGGATTTGGACTGCCGATGGATTTGTTTAAGATCTTATGTTGTTGACGCCGGTAAGTAAAAAACTAAAAATTACCAAGAACAGAAGTTGATGATATCATTTTTATTATAATGTATTGTTCTAAAAAGCGGTATAGGCGGTCGCTTAGACCCTGACTAGGCGCTAGGCTCTCATGAGATGCCTAGATGACCACCTTGACCGCCTAAAATTACATAGATCTTGTTTAATATATTTTTTCAATTTCCAATTAAGTTTTCTATATATATATATAGTTATAAATATTTATATATTATTTAATATAGATATAAGTAAATGTTTTGTCAAATTTTTGTTTACGATTTCATATTTTTAGTTTTTTTTATATAGATATTTTATATATAATATCATATTTATAATGTTTTATGTTATAACATCTAAACTGCCACCTAAGCCCCGTTTAGGCGTTCTAGGCGCTAAGCACTGGGTCACCGTTTGCTTAGCATCTAACGCTTTTTTGAACATTAATAAAACTTCTCTTTAATCAACATTTTCTTTTGTAGAGATTGTCGATATTTTCTTTGTGGACACAACACCGTTCGTAGATAAATATTTTGATGAACCAAAAGACCATGTATATGATTGGAGAGGCGTATTACCAAGAAATAAATATCTTAACAATCTCTTAATGGTAACCTTTTTTTTCTTACTCTACCATAAGCTAGTTATATTATCAAATTCATCGAAAATTTATATGAGTATAAAATAGTTAAACATTTGGCTTGTGATTATCATTGACCTAATTCGTTGATATATAACAATATACAGGATGTCGATGTGGCATTGCAAGAATCAATGGCTAAATGGAAAATAGTGGTAGGCCATCACACGATCAAAAGTGCAGGTCACCACGGCATAACCATAGAGCTTGATAAACAACTTTTACCTATCCTCGAGGTTTTTTATTATTATATAAACTGTTTAATATAATGTTTAATTTAGTAGTTTATAATAAACTACTAAATTATGCAATACTAATAATGAAGAAAAAAACAATTTAATTAGTTTTTCTTGATATGTAGGCTAATGAAGTGGATCTCTATATAAACGGGCATGATCATTGCTTAGAGCACATAAGCAGCATCAACAGGTGATTACAATAAGTTCGTATAATTTATTAATCGATTAATTATGGATTTGTAACGTAAAGGAAATGCTTGTTTATAGTGGAATACAATTTATGACAAGTGGCGGTGGATCTAAGGCGTGGAAAGGAGATATGAATGATTGGAACCCACAAGAGATGAGGTTTTACTATGATGGACAAGGATTCATGTCGGTTTACACATCCGAAGCCGAACTACGCGTCGTTTTTTATGATGGTTTTGGTCGTATTTTACATCGATGGAGCACTTGTAAGAAGGGGGTTTATTCCGATATCTGATCGATGGTCAGACAAAAAAGAAGTTAAGAGTTAAAGACAAAACTATTTCTATTAGTAGTTCATTGTTTATTATGTTGATGTTTCATGTGACTTAACATTTTTTAATGTTGTGTGATTATTTTCGAACTCTTAAAGTTTGAGATTTGGTATTTTAATACATGGAGACATATAGAACTCTCATGATTTGGTTTTGATTCGTTTACTTATAATTAAAAATATCCTAAATAGAAGCTCAAAGATAAAGAAAGTGACACTACGCATGATTCTCGTGTTCACATTACACTTTGTATATAATTCATTACCATCATATTCCACTATATACATAGATATCCAAAATAAATATTTTTGCTTATTTCATATAAAGAAAGAAATCCTTAATAGTTCTCTTTATAATATAATACAAATAATTGATTTTTTACTAATTTAATACAAAACTTATACAGATATATTTATGAATCAAATATCCCAGGAATATTAATATTAGTCATTTATATTTTAATTAGGAAGTAAAGTAGGAAAGAAATAGAAAAAAAAAAAAAAAAACAGGAAGAAAAATCCCTTGACCTAAACGTGTAAGTAACACGCAGCATTGCCCATACATTGGACAAAAGATATACTACTATTTGATTACAAAACAAAAAGCTGTAAAGTCTTCTTAATTAATTTAGTAAAATGATTATATTTTCCTTCAACTGTGTCGACCGGAAAAAAGCATCCTTGAATATTTTATCGACCATGTTATTCTTACGGATCCATCTATATTAATTGCTACCAAGGCATCTCTATCTCTCTTTATATAGGCATCGTTTTTTTTTTTCTTGTCTAATACCAGATAAAATAAGTAAGAAGAAAATGAAGATTTACGTATGTTTTAGTGTGATTTTGATGTTTCTATGCATCTTCTTCATCAGTGGTGCTTTGTCGGAGCTTGAAAGGTTGGAACATCCGGTGACAAAATCTGATGGCTCTCTGAGTTTTCTGGTCGTTGGAGATTGGGGACGCAAAGGAGAGTTTAATCAATCTCTCGTTGCACATCAGGTGACTAATATTAATTACTTTTTCAATATAAGATATGCATTTTGATTGAATATAATTTCACATTCATTCAAATAAAATATATATAACGTATGCAAGATTTAACTAAAATATGTAGATTAGTTGTTTACATCTGTAAATATGTATGATGCATACAACTGATTAAAAAATTCGTAGAAAAGATTTATACTTTCGGTATAATTCGTTCGAATAACTTAGTGGCAATTATATATGTGTTCAAGGCAACAATATAGAATAATGAACACTAATTATACCGCTAAAGCTAAAGTCGGATATCTAAGAAAATGTATTAATTAGATTAAAAGAAATTTCAAATTTCAAATAAGAAAGATAATTGATGATTAATAAATGTTCATAGGTGTTTGGTTCGTAGGATAAAACTATACATGTATTATATATTAGATATATGTGTTTATTAGTTTATATATATTATACAACCCAAATGATTATGTTTGAGTTTTTGGTGGAAAAATGTACGTAATTTAATCTGGTTATTTGTTTTTCTTTTCTATATAGTGTTGAAAGTTGAAACACTTAATTATGTATGAAAATATAAGCATCAATCTATTAATATATCAGTAAAATAACCACATGGTGGTGGGCGAGTAGTTCTCGTTTGGTTGGAAGGATCGCCCTGTTGGTCTAGGCCAGGGATTGATCCTCCCCAGACGCAGTTTCGCTCTCTCACTCCTGTGGCTACCTGGGAATTTACATGCGGACTTGCTTAGGCGCCCCAGACCACCAGTTTATCAGGGGGCCTTTAAGTGGAGGCTTAAAAATCCCTGTGACGTAGGCTTAGGCCCAGTGAACTAGTCAGATCACTGTGTGGTCTGGATACTGGGTTATCAAAAAAAAAATATATCAGTAAATAGTCGTATATGTTGCGTCCATTATCTTTCTTGTAGGAAGTCACTCATTCTACGCAATATGTAGACATTCATTGAAAGGCATATTCGTGAAAGTATTCTTGTAATTGACAAAATTGATACGCTTATTAGAAAGCATATTCCTAATAAAAAAAATTATGTTTTCATAATTTTTTTCTTTTGTTTCAATTATGAAAACACTATTTTTTATATTAAAAAAAAAATTGACTAACATTCATTTTTGTTTGGCAACAGAGTATATATGTATATTTTTCAAATATCAATTTTAAAATATTATTTTGCCCATATACTATCGACTTAAAAAATCTCAACATGATACAAATCTGTTCTAATAGAAAAAATTGTTTATGTAATAATTAAAATTGAAAATTTGGAAAACTGACAGATGGGAATTGTGGGAGAGCAATTAGACATAGATTTTGTGATATCAGTAGGAGATAATTTCTACGACGACGGATTAAAAGGAGACAATGATACTTCCTTTGAAGCCTCTTTCTCTCATATCTACACTCATCCTAGTCTCCAAAAACAGTGGTATTCAGGTAATTTACTTTGTTCTAATCAATTTCTATACCTAACTAGCTAACGTGTGAGATTAAACACTCAAATGTTATTGCAGTTTTGGGTAACCATGATTACAGAGGAAATGTTGAAGCCCAACTAAGTCAAGTTCTCACCCAAAAAGATTGGAGATGGTTTTGTCGCAGATCTTTTGTCTTATCCTCAGGTAGATTTACAAATATTTAAAAAAAAAAAAAGAAGTAAAAGTATCATATAACTAAATAAAAGTTTGAATAAGTGAATTTTTTTTTTTGCGTGGCTATAGGAATGGTGGAGTTTTTCTTCGTGGACACAAATCCATTTGTAGAAAAATACTTCACTGATCCAGAAGATCACACTTATGATTGGAGCACTGTCTTACCTAGAAATAAATACATCTCAAACCTCTTACATGTAAGGGCATCTCCAACCATAACACTATTTTGGTACACAAATAACACTATATTTGGGATAGATTTAACACTAAAATATTTTCCTTCTCCAACCATAACACTAAATATCACACTAAAAATAATATGTTCTATTATTATATTATTAAACTAAAGATGCCTTTTATTTGTAATATTTTTAATTTATTAATTAATATAAAATTACAATCGATATATCAAAAATAGCTTTTAATTTTACAAGTTTATGTTTTCCATGGTTAATTGAATTTTATTATGTAATTTTCAATCAATTTTTTTGTTGTTGTTTTAATATTTTCTACTGATTTATATTGCATATTATCAAAATAATAAAAAAAAAATATATAGCTTTGATACATTATTTATTTACTTACAAAATTTAGTAAGATTATTAAATTACAAGACAAATCATATTTAGTATACTATAACTAAATAATAATGTTAATGTAAAAAAATTAATATTATAAATATTAGTATATTATTAATATTATTAATGTTAATATTATATTAATGTTAATCTTTTGCAAAAATGCCCCTTTTTCAATGCCACTTTTCAAAAATACTCCTTCTTTAAAACTTTATAAAAAATGCTCTTAAAAATATAAGATTTACCCAAATATGTATGTAATATTATTAAAACATACACAAACTACATTTCTATGTATCTAAAATCTTATAAATACTTTATAAATACCTTATAAATGCATTTTAAATACCTTTAAAAACCTTTAAAATATCTTGTAAAACCTTTGAAAAACCTTAAAAATCCTTTAAAATAACTTGTAAAACCTTTAAAAACACCTTATAAAACCATATAAATACTTGGATCAAGTCTTCAAGTAGTAGTTACATCCATAAGTACCTTATAAACCTAATAAAACTTTATAAAAATTTCAGATTTAAAAAAGGGCATTTTGAAAATGGACATCTAAAAGGGGCATTTTTGAAAAGGGGCACACCAAAAGGGGCATTTTTAACAATTTCCCATAATACTGTTGCTACAGTAACACACCAAATATAGTGGAAAACTGTACAAAATAAAGGAATCACACTATTATAGTGTAATATTTACAGTTGGGTTTGAGTGAAAAAGTGGACTGCATCACTTCAAAATGCAGTTTTACCGTTGCCTTGGAGATGACCTAATACATTTTCTTTCATAATTGTCAGAATTAATCTCCATCTTCTTTTGATATTTTCTACTAATTAATGTTATTGAAATATCAGGATTTAGATTTAGAGATTAAAAAATCGCGTGCTACATGGAAATTTGTCGTGGGACATCACGGGATCAAAACCGCAGGGCATCACGGTGTGACCCAAGAGCTCGTAGATCAACTTCTTCCAATTCTAGAGGTAAAATAACCATTCATAATATCATTTTTATGCTAACATGTTTTTTTTTTTAATGGTAACATGTTAATTTTTCTTATTGTTTCCTACGTTGATATAATTTATCATGATAGTTTCCATGATTTCTTTCATTCATTATTTGAAGGAGAATAAAGTGGACTTGTACATAAATGGACATGATCACTGCTTGCAACACATTGGTTCTGACGGGTAAAACGATATTTATAAACAAATTTCAGTTTTGTTTTAGATTTTGTTGAGTTTAAATGTTTTCTTTGAAAAGTTATTATCATTTTTGTTAAGAGAAAGTAAATTAAAGATATATTATTGGAAATTGTGAAGTGAAACCCAATTTCTGACAAGTGGAGGAGGATCAAAGGCATGGAGAGGAGATATTCAGCCATGGGATCCCAAAGAACTCAAACTGTATTACGATGGGCAAGGTTTCATGTCTCTTCACATCACTCACTCCCAAGCTAACTTCATCTACTATGATGTTTCCGGCAATGTTCTTCACCAATCCTCATTGTCCAAAAGATCTGTTCTCCTCTAAAAAATATTTTTTTAAAAACAGTTGAACACAAATTAAATTTATAACAAATTTATTGATGTAATGATACTGAACACAATATATGTGTGAGTGAGCCGTTATTCATAGTATTTTCTCTTGTAAAATATTAAATTTTATAGTTTTCTAGTTGTAAAAATATTTGATATAAAATATCATACCATTTTTTGGACCAAAATGGGCCTTTCAAGCCTTATACTTGGAATTATCAGTATCATATTACAACTTTACAAAAGGGCCCAATTTTGAATGTCAGGTGATATAATACAATTTTGTGTAAATAATCAAAAACCCCTAAGGAGTCAAGTTATCTACATCTTTGCCATCAACAATGTCCACACACACAAAATTATCATCTTCGAGAGTGGTGTAGCAGAAGAAACAGAGGAAACTGAAAATGGTGGTGTTAGTCTTACAGTCTCTTAATTGGTACGTACATGGAGGAATCATGAAGACAAAGAAGAAGAGGCATTTGATGCGTATTGTCCAAGCCATTGAAAGAGACGATTCTTCTTCTTCTTCTTCAGAGAGATTCGAAATTGATAGAGATAAAGCAAGAGAAGCTCTGAAACAGCTTGATCAACAAATCGAATCTCAAGCTGATGAAAAACCAAGAATCATCATCAAGACATCATCATCAGATGTGGTCAGAACCAATAATGATCCAATCATGTTTGAAGAACCACCTGAGATCTCCGGATCGTTTCTCACAAGTTCAGCTTTTGTTCTCTTAGCTCTTACCTTGTTCTACAACATTTTGTTCATTACAGTGATAAAACCATCCATGGATGGACCAGAATCAGTTCCAGAAGAAAACAGTGTTGCTATGTCTGATTCTGACATTGTCAAGTTTCCACTTTCATCTTTGCCTGAAAACACTTTCAAACAGTAGAAATCTTTACGTTATTATTAGTGTATATTCTTGTATATTACATCTTCACTGTTTTCAATGCTAAAATGTCCAAAGAAAACACAATGGAACTGATCGTATAAACAAAATTGGAGCTTTATCTTCAGTGCAAAAGAGACATTGTTTGCTTTTCGAGCTGCAACAACCTAAATGAAGTATCTTTATCTAACCTCAATCCAGCATCTTCAACTTCCTTACATATCTCTTTACACTTTGTCAATCGCCCAGAAGCGGTATAAACGTTAATCATATCGCGATAAATATCATACGTTGGCAAGAATCCAGCTTCCTTGAGTTTAGAGTAATACCTCATTGCTCTTCCCAAATCATCCAATGCTACAAATAGTTTAATGACTACTCTATAAGCTGGAAGATCAAGAAGACAGTTTGATTCCTCCATCTCCCAAACCACATTCATCGCCTCCCGATATTTCTGTTCCGAATACCTGCTATGTATCATGGTAGTGTACATTACAACGCTTGGTTCTCTGTTTGATTCTTTAAACCAGTCAAAGAGAGATTCAACGAGCTCAAATTCTCCCAGTTTCACACAGATCTTCATAATACCTGTGCAATCCTGTTGGCTCAATCTCAAATCTTCTCTTTCTTTCAGTTCCTCGAGAAGAGTAACAACAAGATGGTACTTGTCAGGGTTTTTAGCTATTTCCAGAATCATCTTCACGTAAACACTCGAGTCGAGTATTCGATTGTTACTCTTCGAGATCAGTATAAGCTTCCGGGCTAGATTCAACCATCCACCTTCAATGCATCCCTTGATCATTGCTTCGATAACGTTCTTGCTAGCCAAACTATTGTCAAACTTAAGCAATTTCAGCTCGTGGTGCTTGGCCAAAACCTGAATAGTGGATGCGAGAATCCGATTATCAGGGACTAAATGAGAATGCTTCTCAGCCCAATGATATGTCTGTAAAGCTCTCTCGGGCAAACCCATATGACCCAATTCTCGAATCGTCATAGAGAGTGACCCTTTACGCAAGAAGCTAACCCATTTATTGAGAACAAGAGAGACATCAGCATCAGAAGAAGGCAAGCTCTTAATCTCTCTAGCTAAACCGATAAGAAAACTTGGATCTTTATACACTTGCTTCGATACAGAAGACAATGCAGCTGATCTAATGTTCTTCTTTGGAGTTGGAAGACCTAAAGGTCGTAACTTGTGAGGTTGAGGAAGTGGTAAAGGCCTAACTCGAATCGGTTTACCGGGTTTTTGAGGAATCCTTTTCTGAAAAAGCGACGAAATCGCCTCGATTTCTTCTGGTTCCCACACAACAGCATCATCATCCACTGATTCTTGATCTTGCACATCATTATCAGCATCATAATCATCCACAACTGGTTCAATTTTGGGTTTCCTCAGAAACAAATTAACACCAAAATCAGGAGGAAGCTTGGTTAGGCGTGGATTACGGAGATTCTTAGTGAGTTTCTTAAAGTGATTCCTTTGACTCGCGTTGACTCTTGTTATTCCTATGTTACCGAGACTCCTGGTTTGAGGATTCAAGTGGAAGCTAAGTGACCAAGAGACAGGACAATACACTATCATTCCTAAAACACCACGAAATCTAGACAAATCTAGAGCGAAACGGGAACAGTTAGGGTTTTGAAATCGAACACAAACCTTAGAAAAGGAATAAACTTTAGGTCTAGAAACGAAACCCCATGAAGAATAGAGCTATATTAGTCTAAAGCTCACCTTCTTGTGATGAATCAATCGATAGTGTAACAGCGAGCTTGAGATAGAGCACACGAGGAGGACGAAGAAGAAGAAAAAAATATTTTTTTTCTTTTGGTTCAATTACCGGATTCAATCAACCCGACCCGAAATGACCCAACCCGATTCGATATTTGTTTCGGTTAATTATTTAAAGTAGTTTTGTGGATAAACCTTTGGAAGCAAGTAGAGTGTTATACAGTTGGAAAATAGCTGGCAAAAAAGCAAATAAACGTCAACCTCAAAACGACTAAACACAAATGATAATGAGGTAAGCCAATTTTGTCTAGTTTTTCACAAGTCTATCTCTTTGATGGTCCCTAAAAATCTGCCAATTCCTACCTATATGTATATAAAAATAAATTGTTTGTTTCATAATTTTTTTTCAATATTTTCCTCTTTGTTTTCAAGATTTTTGCATATTTATTTACATTGTGTCTAAACTCAAACCAACCATTCAAAACTCAAAATGCGAATCTGGCTTGTGTAAACATAAATTGTTTGTTCGTAAAGTTTGTTAATAATGAAATAAACCTAAATTGTTTTTTTATTTTTATTTTTTGGAGGCTAAAATGAATTGTTTACTCAGCTCAAAATTGGTTCGAATGCGAAAGGTACCATGTGTGATCACATAAAAATTTCTTTCTATGGTAGCATATGTGCATGAACATGACCACACAAAATTAAACCAATATTCGTTGGACCCATTGAATAAAACAAGTACAAGAGAGACAAAACTTTCTTCACATAAAGTACTCAAATTGAATACAAATATAAATTCGATCAATAGGCCAAAAAAAATATGATTAAATATATCCAAGACAGCTGAAATTACAACGCAAATATTCGTAAACGACAGTATTCACAAAAAAAAAAAAAAAAAAAAAAAAAAACAATTAATCATATAAGTATTCAAACTCGAAAATCTCTCAAATAAAAAAATTAATTATTTTCTTTTTTATATTCGTATACAACCAACAAATGACAAAAATGCCCCCCTCTAACTGTGAAAATGCACTGAATCATAAATAACCAATATATGGACTTATTATAGAACCCCTCCAAATCTCACCCAAACACCACCATAGACTATATGTTATCATATCGACTCTGTTCCATCAACCCGGCTTCTCTTGCTCCGGTGCTTTCCATTGCGATGGCGCCTAGGGATTCCGCCAAACGTGACCGGATCATAAACCCTAAGCCTCTGAGCCTCTGCGGGATTCACCACACACTCCGATAAAGCAACCTTGTACCTTGTCCGATCATAGCAATACGAATAAGTCATGTGTTTCCGCCTGAAAACATCCATTTTCTTCCTCTGCGATGGGGTAATCTCCTGTGCCGCACGGATATCCACAGCCGCTCCTTCATCACACCTCGGAAACTGCTCAATAGGATCCACGGGGCAGCCGTGAAGGACTAGATCAGAGAACCGCGCAATGTAAGGCGCATATTTGTAGTTTACACCGTACTTGCCACCGTTTGTTGCCCATTTAGAACCGTCCCATATTGTTGTGTAGAGTGACATCGGCTTTGAGGGAAAGTCACCACCCATTGACGCCGTACGTTTGACCTCTCTGATTGGAACATTGTCTACAAAGAATCTGCATAACCAAAAAGAACAATTTCACAAACTTGATCAGTACCCACAACATAATTAGCTAAAGAGAAAAACATAAGGTAAGTTAGATTTTGTATGGGTCACTAATGCCAATTTTGGATAAAAAGAAAATTATGATTTTGATCAATACCCTGAAATTATAAGCTTAGAAATATTACATTTTTGGCATAAAAATTTCCAGCTTTTGATGAACTAAGTAAAAGATTCTCAACTTGTGAATTGGACCCCCAAAGGAAAAACATACTCTCTATGGGGTCATTGTTGATGCCAAAAATCGAAAGCTGTAAACCATTTTAGGGGCTCACACACACTTGAAATTGACAGGAACAATACAACCAAAAGCAAATGATGTCCCAAGCATCACAAAACTTTCCACAAGAAGGAAAAAAAATTAATACCCACCAAGAATTTGAATCATATTTTTTCAACAAAAAGATCCTCCCATCATTAAAACCCCACTTGGGTTTCCTTAAATAGAAGATCATATTATTGAATCCATAAAGCTTTAAAACAAATGGGGTCAATAGCCTAACCTCCTTTAAAAACTTGAATGAAACAAAACAGAGATTAGGATTTGTTACTTACATGATGTGAGAATCAGACCAGAGGATACTGTATTGATGAAAATCTTCAGTTGGATCAAACCAAAGATTATATCTCTCTTCTCTTCCTAAATGAGTACTTCCATTACCGTAAATGTTTGTCTGAATCCTCCATTCTTTTCCTCTAATGTTACCAAGAAATTCAAAATCTATCTCATCATGGTTCTTCTCATACATATCTCCATTTGACATCTGAATTCATAACAACAACCCACAAAAAATAAATCATTATTACTTATACTAAACCCAAATCAATAGAGAAACTAATCATATTTATGAGAAAAGATCCTTAATTAGGGATTTTACTTACATAAAAGGCAACAACAACACCAGCTGAATAATCAGAAGGTAATTTAATTGAAGCACTGAAGAATCCATGCAAGTAAAGATCATTTGAAACAAAACCAGAACCTGCAAGAATCCAAACATCACTAAACCGAGAAAACATTTAAAGATCAAGAAACGAGAGGAATATTAAAGAACCGTACCGGTTCTTTCATCGAGTGTTAACCGGACAGATTTGCCATCTTTATGAACAAACAAGTTCTTATCACCAAAAAGTTGAGTGTAACCTTCTTCAAAAGATGTGATTGGAAGGTTTTGCAGAGCAAATCCAGAAACTAAACCGGAAAACAGAGTCATGAAAACCAATAAACGAGTCAAAGTTTCCATTGAAGAGCTTTATGAGAAAGAGAGAGAGCGTTAAGAGCTTGCGTATAGAAGCTATGAAGGTTTTGAGAGAGAGAGAGAGAGAGAGATGGAGAAGGAGACGAAAGGCTAATGAAGAAGAGAGAGTGAATATGGTTTCCATCTGTCTTTTGGGTGGTTTATATTTTCGATTTTAAATTATTTTTTGTTTCGATTATTTCTTAATTATTTATTTTAATACGCGGAATTGGTGACATTACATGGCAACAAGATCTTTTAACGAATTCTCAAATAATTTGATTTTGATTTTTATATTTGATGGATATAATTGGGTATTAGTTTCCAAAATTTTGTTAATTTTATATTGTCCAGCAGTATAGATATTTAAAGCAAACCATATTTTAGATGGCAAAATTATAATAAATCATGTTACCTAATATGTTTCCTTTTTAGTGTTGTATTCAATGGATTTCATTCGGCGATAAATAATTTTAGGGATTATTGTTGATTTTTTCTTTTTCATCAATTTTTTTTGAAAATGTTATTTTTACTAAAATCTTACGAATTTGCCATTTTTAACACTTAAAAATATACGTATTTACGATTTTTTTTAAAAATACGTACTTTATACCAAATACCAAATGAAACCGACTAAACCCAAACATAACGGATAAAACGCATGTTAAATCACATTTTTATATATAAAAAAAGGGAAATTGTTAGAAATGCCCCTTTTGGTGTGTCCCTTTTCAAAAATGCCCCTTTTAAATGTCCATTTTCAAAAATGCCCCTTTTTAAATCTGAAATTTTTATAAAGTTTTATTAGGTTTATAAGGTACTTATGGATTGTAACTACTACTTGAAGACTCGATCCAAGTATTTATAAGGTTTTATAAGGTGTTTTTAAAGTTTTTACAAGTTATTTTAAAGGATTTTTAAGGTTTTTCAAAGGTTTTACAAGATATTTTAAAGGTTTTTAAATGTATTTAAAATGCATTTATAAGGTATTTATAAAGTATTTATAAGATTTTAGATACATAGAAATGTAGTTTGTGTATGTTTTAATAATGTTACATACATATTTGGGTAAATCTTATATTTTTAAGAGTTTTTTTTATAAGATTTTAAAGAAAAAGCATTTTTGAAAAATGGACTTGAAAAAGAAGCATTTTTACAAAAACCCCAAAAAAAGCAAAATCTACAAACTATTCAAAAAATGGCAAAATTCATAAATATCGTTAAAAAATAGCAAATCCGTAATTGATTCATAATTTTAATCACTAAAATTTTACATTTTAGTTTTGCAATAACAATAATGACCCTAAAACGTGTCAAAATTGACCTCTCTATGTGTAGAGTGTAGATGCGGTTTCTTTAATATTTCAGACGAAAACATTGATATTTGGTACTGCTAGTCTAGTAATGATCCTAAATCATTACCATAATTCTTTTTTATGTAAACAAGAAAAAAAGATACAGATTTTTTTAGTTTCCACAAAAATATACTAATATGTGACCACTTAGATATTTAAATTTCTAGCAATAAACACATAGAAAGTATTATACATATAAATGAATTATGATGGATATATAAAAGACGACGAGAGAAAAACAAAGAGAAACAAGAAAGCATGAGAGGCTTTGCTTCTTACAAATAGTCACAGGTGCTGTGTCAGCATTTCTCTTTTTTTTTCTTAACATAATCACAACTTACAAATAACGTAAGCAAAAAAAATGTTAAATAAATAATATTTTCACAAACTTGAAAATGGTACAATCCGTAAACGGTAAAAAAAAAAATCGCCTCATGATATAATCATTTATGGTAAATATGAAGTTTAATTTAAACTGTGTTTGCTTTGTAGAGCTTTCTTTGAGAAGGGATAAAGTGCAAAATACCAAATAAAAACTCATAATACAAAACTGAAAAGAAAAGAATTTTTTTTTTTTTTGAGTTGTCTAATAAAAAAGCTGTGGACCAGAGATCTCTCCTCGAAGACAAACGGGGTACATTTTAAGAAAAGGTGAATCATTTGGGTTTTTTTTTTTAAAAACAATTTATTTTGAGACTTTCGGAGTCAAAAATAAAAGACGTATCATTGCATTTTCAATTTTTAATTCATATTTTTAGTATTAAATTTCTAATTAATTGAAATTTCCCATAAAGCGCATAAAGTTGGATTTGGTTAGCCGCCCCAATACCGTCCAATGGTATTTCCGTAAATAAGGCTGACATTAAGAGGACAATAAGACATTTGTCCAACGGTAAACAATTTTTGAAAAATCGCGGCTCCGTTAAATGAGAAACGCGTGAAGGAGACGGGGGTTTAAATAAAGACACGTGGCGAGTATTGTGTAGAGCGGGTGGGTTTAAAACGCACGGTTTTGTGCCAATGAATGCATCCTTAAACGGTTAAACCGGTGTCGTATCGGTTACTGTTTCTTGTGCCGGTGTTAATTAGCAGCGTTAAGAAAGATGGGTCCTATTTTTACCTAATACTCTCTCCGTTTCAATTTAGTTGTCGTTTTAGGATTAAAATTTTGTTTCATAATAGTTGTCGTTTTAGGTTTTCAATGCAAATGTTTGGTAAAAATTCATGTTTTGTCATTAATGTTTTAATATTTTGACCAATAAAAAAATTATAAAATATATTAATAAAAGGTAAAACAAAAAATTTAATGATTTTCTTAATTTGTGCGCGAAAACCTTAAACGACAACTAAAACGAAACAGAGAAAGTATCGTGTTTGTATGTAATTTAAATCGTATGCAATTATGAATCAACTTGTTTTGTTTAGTGTCAAAAAAAGGAAATTCGTTTTTTTTTTGGATTTTGGTTATGAAGAGTTTTGAAAATTCTGTATATTATCCACACGAAAAAATTAAAAAAATCATGTGTTATTAATTTATATGTTTTAATCAATTCATATAAATTTTTTATTTTTTCTGTAAATGTAAAAGGAAAATTCAGAACATTTATTAAAATTTATACACCAAAATAGTTTTTAAGCGTTGATTACATTAGTGTCATGTTTTTATCGCTTGTGATTAGATCTTTATAGCAGTTTTCTTGAAGAAATGTCTTAAGAAAGTTGTTGAAAAATTTACTCAATACTTTAGATATTTCAGTATTGTACAAAATAGATTTTTTTTTAATCAAAATTTACGCATCATATTATATGAAATCTAACATTATCTAAGGATATATGCTCATCATACGACATCTTATGAATTTGAACCTTTTTTTTTTTTTTGAACTTCTTCTCACATCACATTCATCAAAGTGTCTAAGTAGCTCATATCTCTTACAAGTAATATTGCGTTTTCGAGTCATCCACTATCTATAGTTTTCAGTAACCAATTATCCATTGACTCCATTACATTTGTTTCAGAATATAACACTTGAGAAAAAAAATATTACATAAATACGATTTTAAAAGCTCATATTATATACTTACAGTCACCGACGAAATACAAATTCACTTGACTAAAAATATCACGAAGATTTGGTCGGACACATTTTGAAAACTTCCGATCAACAGATCCTATAACTTTGATGCTAACACCCTCTATGTAGTCAAGATTATGAATTTCAGCTTCAATATATGGGAGAGCATGTTTGGAGGAACCCTTTGGTTCTCGGTGTCCCACCACACTTTGGTGAGAGCTTTCATGGTCATGAACTTTTGTTTTGTAAACTTGATAGCTAACCGATGCATCATCATCGTAGTGCAGGCGAAATTCACATTAAACTTTCTTTTGAACAATTGAAAATGTGTTGTAGGGAAAAAAAAACAAAAACTAGTACCAAATCATTTCTATTTCACATCGAAGAAACTAAAGGAATAATACCAAATTCAAATGAAACACATGAAATTAAGTGTTTGTAGTGAACTTTCAATTTGTACAAGAAAACATAAAGATCGGACCCAAAGATTCAGATTTTTGGATGTTGTATATATTCATTCACTCATGCTATCATCAAACAGTTATGAAACATTATCTCTAACACATAATCTATAAATAAACTAAAAAAAGCTCCATTTTTAAACACATTTTTGATGAAAAAAACGTAATAAAAAAACATATAAGAAATATATAAGAAATATTTTCAAAATAATAATAAGAAAAAAAAACGTTTTCTCAAAAATAAAAATGTACTTTGAGCGTAGTTAATTAAAAACATATTAACCTTTCCATTTTTCTTAAATGCAGTTGTATTATGAGCCACACAAAAAAAAAAAAAAACATTTTACGAATAGCCTGGTGTAGTTTATGTAGTTATAATGTTATATGATCACCTACCATTCAAACTCATAATTAGAGGTTATCAAAAAAAAAAACTCATAATTAGAGTAAAAACTATCATCATCCTAATACAAAACTATGTACACGTACTTACACAGACGGCGACAAATTGTTTAGGTAAATGCGGATTTACATAAAAAAAAAAAAATAGTTTGATCACTGAAATTTATTTCACTTGTGTATCTTCTTCAATATTAGTATATTACTACCCTTGTTCTAAAAATCCCCGCCACCCGATTACTCCCCGCTTAATCGATAGGCCCACTCTATCCGCCTCAATTAATGACTAATCCTCTAAAGAAATCAGTCACCCGATTACTCTCCGCCTAATCCGATTACTTCCCGCCTAATCCGATTATTCTCCGCCTAATCTTACATACCCCGATTATTTTTAGATTGCTAGTATAAAAAAACTTTTAATTTTTGTTATTCAATCATTTGAATTGGGACTTTGTAATGTTTTACAATAACTTATGTTCAAATTTTAATAAAAATCATAAATTTGTAATAAAAATCATAAAAATTTGTCTCAAAAATACATTTTTATGTATTTACTGCAATTTTGAAAATAATATTGGATTGATATGTTTTAAGAATATTAAAATAACCCTAAAACTAATCCCCGATTAATCCTCGATTTTAATCCGATTTTCCGATTAATCGCTAGGCTCATGCCGAGCGCCCGACTAGCGCCTAGCGATTTTTCAAACAAGGATTACTACTAGAGGAAATGGATAAACGAATATTATTAGTGCCACTTGTAATTTGTAAATAAAATAGAATATGACTGAAATGCCCCTGTCAGTGAAGTCATATTACCTGTCTCCGTTGGATTCACC